TGGCCTTCACGGCCAATGAAAGCGTCACACGCTGCTCCAATGTTACTTTGCGGTATTTTGGCCTATTCCCGACGGAGCGCTTGCTTGAGGTGATCGACACTTTGATATTTTTTAGCTGGCCAACCGAAGGTGCACATTTTCAGCTGACCTCTTTGGAAAGTAAACACGATCATTTTGTTTGTTTAAAAACTGCTGGACAACGAATGTTTTCTCATAGGAGAAAACCAAATTCGGCAGTTACCACTTTCGGCCAAGCGAAACAACTCTACCTGTTTTCAGTCTATTTTCTTTCTGTTGCGGTGTAAGTTCCTGGACTTTTTGGAATTTCAATGGCTTTACTCCGAGCTCATTTTTCAATATTTGTCGAATGGAATATTGCGATATGTTCAGCTCACGAACCATTTTTTCGGCCACTGCGACGCGGGTTTCGATCAAGTCGCTTGTTTACTTTTCGAACCATTTCTGCTGATGTTGCTGTTTTCTTCCGTCCAATTCCTTGACGTCGGGCTATGATGACAGTATCATGGTAACGAACGATGGTACGAGACACAAAAGATTTATTCACATTTTAATGCTGGAGTGCCCTCACTAAAAGCTTTTGAACGCTTGTAAACAATATAATGAGCAGTCACTGGAATAATTTTAACAGCTCTCGGACGAGTGGCTTGGAAATGACAACAGTTTGAAGTTGGTTACAGTTTTTTCATCTCACCCTGTATATTTTTTAAAAATCCCAGTTATTGATGGTATAGTCCTCGAAAAGTCCTTAAAATATTTTTAAAAATCCACAAATATAGCTTCTATATACCATGATTCTTAGAGTCCTATAAAATATATTTAAAAAAAATCCTTGTTAATGGCTCTTATAGTCATAAAAAATATATTTTGAAATGCATGAATACGGTTTTTATAGTCCTTGAAAATATATTTTTAAGTATCCATGATTATGGCTATTATAACCCGTTAGATGAACATGTTTTTTTTTTGGCATAACTCTTGATACGATACATCCATCGATTTGAATTTGAGATATTCTATGGAATCGTCCACCATTTACAGTAGTGCTTCGCAGGGTCTTTATTATCGTCGTTTAATGAGTATAATCGCATCTCGATGCTATATATAGAACAATTATTATTACATCAATTTTTTTTTATATTCTATTTAACTGTATGCACTTTTGTAACGACTTATCACATCATCATTGCCCCAGCCTTATCATGGGAAGTGGCAACCAGACTAGAACTACCATCATTAAATACTAAACATTTTATGAATATAGATGTCTAAAATTACAAAAAAAAAAAAAGAAAAGAAACGCCACACTGAAAATAAACATTGTACAGTTATCTACTGAAGTAGTCGTTGATTCGTATATTTGTTTTAATTATTGACACAATTTTATCAGAATGTCGACTTGTGGGGTGACGATGATCTATCTAGTTCCTCTTCATTTTCACATTGCAATCTGAATTGATACAACGTGTTAGAGTTTTTTTGTTTGGTGTATTTCGATTAGGTTAGTCGATATTGAATTTTGTTTTTTTTTTCACAGAAATACACATGAAATTCAATATTTGTGTTTTATGTATTTTTATGGGAATAATATTGATACAATTGTTGAAATGTTAATATTTTATAAAAAAAAAAAAAAATATACTATATGTAGCTGAAATATTGGTATTTATCAAATAAATAAATGCTCAATCTTGTATTATTTTGAAAAGTTGCAAAATTTTTGTTTGCATTATTTTTTGAATGAAAATATTTTCAACAACAAACATGCGAATTTGCCCTAATTTCTACCTAAAAAAATACTTTTTTTGAGAAAACTTTTTTAATCCTTTGCTTTAATAGATTTTGTAAGATATTTTCTAATAAGTCTACGATAATGACTCTTATAGTCCTTCTAAAATATTGTAAACAAGTAAAAAAGCAGTAAGTTCGGCCGGGCCGTACTTTGAATACCCTCCACCATTTGGAACGAATTAGAAAATTTTCAAAAAAATAAAATCCATTAAAAATTCTTTTAAAATCTTTAAAATATCTAATATAGGAAGGTGCCGATATGGGGGATATACGATATTGTGGACCTATAAAGACAAATCTATGTCTGCGTGAAAAGTACTCAAAAGGAACTCCTGGTGTGGATATTCAGATAATTCCATTGGAAAAAGTGGCTAAAATCATCAAAATACGGAATATAGGGGAGTACCGTTATATGGGGGATATACGCTATTGTGGACCTATATAGACAATTCCGTTTCAAGTAAAGTGATCACAAAGAACTCCGTGTGTGGATTTTCAGACAATACGATTGGTAAATGTGGCTAAAATCATCAAAATACCGAATATCGCGGGGTATCGTTATATGGGAGCTATACGTTATCGTTAACCTATATAGAGAATTCTCGGTCGGGGGGTAAGTGCTGACAATGAACCCCTTGTGTACAAAGAACACCTTGTGACCATTCCGTTGAAAACTATGGCTAAAAACATCAAATTAGCGAATATCGGGGATACCGTTATATGAGGGCTATACGATATCGTGAACCTATATAGATAATTCTCTGCCGAGGTATAAAGTACCCACAAGGAACTCCTTGTGTGGATTTCAGATAATTCCGATGAAAAATGTGGGTAAAATCATCAAAATACCGAATATCGGGGGGTACCGTTATATGGGGGATATACGATATCGTGGACCTGTATAGACAATTCTCTCTCAGGGGATGAAGTACTCACAAGGAACTACTTGTGTGGATTTTAAGACAAATCTATTGAAAAGTGTGGCTAACATCATCAAAATACCGAATATCGGGGGTACCGTTATATGAGGGCTATACGATATCGTGAACCTATATAGATAATTCTCTGCCGAGGTATAAAGTACCCACAAGGAACTCCTTGTGTGGATTTCAAACAATTCCGATGAAAAATGTGGATAAAATCATCAAAATACCGAATATCGGGGGGTACCGTTATATGGGGGATATACGATATCGTGGACCTGTGTGGATTTTAAGACAAATCTATTGAAAAGTGTGGCTAACATCATCAAAATACCGAATATCGGGGGGTACAGTTATATGGGGGATATACGATATCGTGGACATATATAGACAATTCTTTTTGAGGGGGTAAAATGCCCACAAGGGACTCCTTTTGTGGAATTCCAGACAATTCCATTGAAAAATGTGGATAAAATCATCAAAATACCAAATATCGGGGGTACCGTTATATGGGGGCTATACGATATTGTGGATCTATATAGATAATACTATGCCGAGGTATAAAGTACCCACAAAGAACTCCTTGTGTGGATTTTCAGACAATTCCGTTGAAAAATGTGGGTAAAATCATCAAAATACCGAATATCGGGGGGTACCGTTATATGGGGGCTATACGATATTGTGGACCTATATAGATAATTCTCTGCCGAGGTATAAATTACCCACAAGGAACTCCTTGTGTGGATTTTCAGACAATTCCGTTGAAAAATGTGGGTAAAATCATCAAAATACCGAATATCGGGGGGTACCGTTATATGGGGGCTATACGATATTGTGGACCTATATAGATAATTCTCTGCGGAGGTATAAAGTGCCCACAAGGAACTCTTTGTGTGGGTTTTCAGACAATTCCGTTGAAAAATGTGGGTAAAATCATCAAAATCCCGACTATCGGGGGGTACCGTTATATGGGGGCTATACGATATTGTGGACCTATATAGATAATTCTTTGCCGAGGTATAAAGTACCCACAAGGAACTCCTTGTGTGGATTTTCAGACAATTCCATTGAAAAATGTGGATAAAATCATCAAAATACCAAATATCGGGGGTACCGTTATATGGGGGCTATACGATATCGTGGACCGATATAGCCCATCTTCGAACTTGACCTGCCTGCAGACAAAAGAGAGATCTGTGCAAAATTTTAGCTTTCTATCTTAATTCGTTTAGACTGTAGCGTGATTACAACAGACGGACGGACAGGGCTAAATCGTCTTAGAATTTTACGCTGATCAAGAATATATATACTTTGTTGGGTCTAAAATGATTATTTCGGAATGACGAACTTAATATACCCTCCATACTTTTTTTGGTGGAGGGTATAAAAAAATCAATTATGGGTCTTATAGACCTTGACAGATATTTCCAAAAATCCCTGATTATGTATCTCCGATATTTAGCAATATTCGTCAACGAAATCAGCATTAATGTAAGAATGAGAGGCACGCCTTTTATGTATTTTATGATGTCCATTCAAAATGCTAGGCTTCAGGGCTATCCAAAACCCTATTAAATTTCTATTCAAACTTTTAATACCTCCAATACATATTGTCGTAGGAAAAATAAATTTCAGAAATCACAAATCTCATACGAAATGAAAGCAGTGCCGCCTCACAAATTAAACATTATTAGAGGTAATAACGTTCGTCGGTCTTTTTCAACATCATTGGATACAAAATTGGGTGCGTATGAATAACAAATATACAACATCCGCAACAAAGATAGCTTTATCCCAAAATCGTTCGACATTTCTTATGTTCTCCGAACTGCGAATCTATGTAATCCCATTTTAAATATTTGTCGAACAAGATTTAATTAACAAAATTATTATTAATTAATTAAGTTATTATTGTTTAATATTTACTATTACATACGATAATTATTAAGAACACATATTGACACAATGCTGAGACATTGCGACAAAAAACGGAAGGCTAACTGTTATTACGGTCAGGCCTGGTGGTAGATTGTTGGTTTGTAGAGCAAATATTGCCAGTCGGTAAACAGAAACGAAGATCACAACGATCGCAGAAAAAACAAAACCCGAAACGAAGATCCCCCACTGTTGAGTGTCGCTAATATTGGCAAAGTAAAACGACGACATTCAAAACGAAGGTTGTAGGGTGACGATTTTGTTGGGTGGTTGGTTCGTTCGTTCGTACGTTCGTTGACTGGCTATCTGGCTGATTCTGTTAAGCAGGTGTCTGTCGTTCAGTGCTGTGCTGTGTGGAGGAGAGTGCCATTAAACGTGCGTTGACTATCAAACATCGAACGTTCGACCGCCGGTTGAATTGCACAGCGAAATACAAAATTTATTCGAATAATTTTTTGCAATCGCTCCGTATTTAAAAACGGTATTATCGGATCCAACGAAAAAATAACTTTTATTTTCTATGAAACATAAAAAAATAATGAAAAGTGTTTTTAGTTTGTAAGAAAAAGTGTTTAAGAAAAATATCGAAAATACCAGTCTGAGTGTCAAAAAAAGTGTTTCCACAATGAATCCCATACGTGAAGAGGAAGCGGAACAGCGAGTTCCCCTCATGCCCAGTGATTTAAAAAATAATTGTGAAAATTCTCACATTCCCTATGCGGATGAAAATGACCCTGAGGAGTCCTCAGAACAAAATTCAAATGGTCAGCCCATTAAGCTTCCAGGTTCGCGGAAACAATCTTTGAGTAGTCGACGAAATGTTGGCCTCACCATTAACATAAATAGCTCCAATCCAGTGCAACATAATGGTGATGCCGATAGTCCCACCACCCCACAAACTGCCTCCGATAATTCTACGAAAATGGATACCCCACCTTTACCACTGCCCCGTGCCCTGCGTCGTAATTCCATTTCAATGCCGTCGGGCATCAATGCCATTGAAGAACTGGAAGCCTTCCGGATAAAACATCAAATGCAGGAACAAGAACCCGTTGTCGAGGAAGAAAAAACTCCCAGTCGAACAGACAGTGTAAGTAGAGAGGGCTGAATGCATGTGATCGCAGTTAAAACAAAAGAAAGAGAAATCAAAACAAATAATTTAAATAAAAAAGGAAGACAAATTTCGTCATTAGGTTTTATTTATTAATCACCTGAATTGCTGTTCTAATATAACCCCAAATACTGCTTAAAATGCATGAACGTGTTTGAAATTCTTAAACAGGTTCTGAAATTCATCGAATATGGTTTTTGGGGTTTTTGATTTTTTTTTCTATTCTTTTTGTTTTAAATTATTCCAATTAATGATAATAAAAAAAATTTATAAGCTGACACCTCTTGAGGCTAAGCCGTTTAAAGGCAGTTAGTTATGGTGTCTTAAAAATGAAGGCACATTTCAGTAATAAATTAATTTATTCTTCTTCGAATTCGGTCGCACTATGAAGATTTTCTTCAAAGCTCGTTTAAAACTGGCTTTTTTGTATTAAGCAAAAAATATTTAATCAGGTCAAAAAAACAAAAATTCATAAAAAATATAAAAATATTACATTATAATTGTATTAGGCCGATCCGATCCGAACGTGGAGGTCCAAATTTGAGTGACACAAATTTGAAAAGTTTTATTCAGTTAGGTCATTAAGGTTTAACATTGGCCAATATTTTAGAGTCAAAATTGTACCCAGAAAAAAAAACTCAGAGCTGACAGTTTTGACAGATAAAAGTATTGAAAAGTGTGACCATTTGTGGGCAAGATACAGGGTGAGATAAAATACCTGCAACAAAGTCAAAAGCCGTAATTTTTACATTTTGTTTTTAATTTTATTAAATGAAAGCAAAAACTGTCGGAAATAGCATCAAATTTTAGAATAAGTTTAGATTTGTTCGAATTGGTCACGTTTGGCACGAACGATGGCCTTCAACGGCCAATGAAACCGCCACACGCTCAGCGATATTTTGGCCCATTCCCGCAACGCACTTGCTTGAGGTGATCGACATTATGGTCATTTTTAGTGCCAACCTTGCTTTCCAAAATAATCCAGACACAATAGTGCAACAGATTGGTATCCGGAGACTTGACCTCTTTGGCAAGTAAACGCGATCATTTTGTTTGTTTACAAACTGCTGGGTATCGAATGTTTTCTCATCGGAGAAAACCAAATTCGACAGTTCACCACTTTCGACCAAGCGAAGCAAATCTGTAGCTGTTTTGAGTCTATTTTCTTTCTGTTGTGATGTAAGTTCTTGAAATTTTTGGAATTTCAATGGTTTTACCCCGAGCTCATTTTTCAATATTTGCCGAAAGGAATATTGCGATATGTTCAGCTTACGAGCCATTTTCGGCCACACTATCACACACTATTACGCTGGAATTCCATCACGAATAACTTTTTCTCTGGAAAATACTCACGAAAATGCTTTTGTACGCTTGTAAACAATATAATGAGCTGTCATTGGAATAATTTTAACATCTGTCGGACGAGTAGCCTAGAAATGACAGCAGTCTGAAAATGGTAGCAGTTTTTCCATCTCATCCTGTATATCATCTCCATAACAAATTTTGTGTTAGCAAAAAAGTTTGTATGTGTGCGAGTTGGATGCTTATTTTTCGCAATAAGTTGACCCTTTGGGTGGGGAGGTACCAGAAGGAATGGTCCGATCTCTATCATCTTTATAGAAGATCTTGTGTTGATAGAAATATTGAGATATACCAAGTCTGAATGGAATCGAATGTTAGTTTCGTGCTTTTTGAGCTTCATGGATATTCAAAATTTTGACCCTTTGTGGGAGAGTTATCAGAAGGTGTGGACCGATATATCGCATCTTCACAGCAGATCTTGTGTTAGTAGAAATAATGGAATGTGTGAACTATGTAGAGAACCGGATGATCGTTTTGGTGATTTAAAACTTTGACCCTTTGTTAGGGAGGTATCTTTACAACAGAACTTGTGTTGATAGAAATATTGAAATGTGCCAAGACTGAATGGAATCGGATGTTTATTTCGCGTTTTATGGGTTTCATGGATATACAAAATGTTGACCCTCTGTGGGGGAGGTGCATGATGGAGTGGATAGATATTGTCAATCTTCGCACCTGACATAGCACTGATACAAACATTGATATTTGCAAAGTTTGCACCAAACTGGATGATCACTTCTTTTCCATACGGTAAATTAATTTGCTGCGCAAATTTTGACATTTTTTTGAGGGAGGTTCAAGAAGGAGTGGATCGATATTTCCCATCTCCGAACTCGATCTGAGTTTGATAATAACATTACGATGCACTAAGTGTGGACCAAATCTGATGCTCCCTTTAAGAGTTATCGTGCCAACCAGGCCGACAAACGACCGAACGGAAACCCCTAGATCGACTCCAAATGTCTCGAAACGGATCTAGTTTGAACCACATCCATATGTCCAGGCTACAAATGAACAGCGATCCTAATACCAAATATCAGATAACATTAATAGCATAATTTTTGTTTTCACTTAATTCCTGTCATACCTATAATGAAACACCCTTTTCTTCTAGAATGATGTTTGAATTATTTGTTGACATCATTACAAGTAATCCAGGTGATTTATTATGACATAAGACAAAATTAGAATATGCAATTGTTGTTGTTTGTTTTTGTAATTATAAAACATCTGCCACGGTTTTAAGGCAGTTTGTTGTTTCTAATGGACCCTAATCACTTTTTTGCGCCGTTTGCGATGACAATCGACATATAATGAATGACATATGACAATTTAAAAGACATTTACGTTTTAAGGAGATTTTTTGAGGTTTTTAAATGCAATAGCACTTTTTCCAAATAGGTGTACTTAGTGGCGATCCATAGTTTCTGAAAAGTTACAGTTGAAAAAATTGGGGAGCATGAAAAATATGTCTTTTATAAAATTTTTCAATTGTCGTTTCCTACCCTTTATTGAAGTTTTTATACTATGCCCCACATAGTGGTAAGGGTGTTATGTCTTTGTGCATTTGTTTGTAACATGGAGAAGGAAGCAAGATATACCCTTAGTTACTTTGAGGATCTTCATAGAAGCACTTTCTCAGTCGATTTATGAATTTATTATTCCATTGATTTTAAATTTTCAAAACAATATTTGTTTGTCCCAAGGACGAACCCTATTGAAATTGGTGAGAATCGGTTCAAATTTAGATATATTTCCCATATACATCTTCAACCGATTTCGGGTTAATTATGCACCAGAAATATCAATCCAAATGACCTAAATTTTGGCACATCCGACCAAATTCAATCTAGAAGCGAGTACATCAAATTTGGTGAAAACCGGTTCAGATGAAGCTATGTTTCATCCGATTTGGGGTTTTAAGTCCCTCACATGCGTAATATACATTCGACAACAATGGTCTTTGGTACCAGATATCAGATACAGCTCAAAAATAAGTATATAAAATGTTGTCGAGATCGTTTCAGATTTGAATATACCTCCCATATATACATATTTGTCCGATTACAGGATTATTGTGTCACCAAATATCAGCTCAAATGGACCGCTATTTTGCACTTCCTACGAAATTCAGTCTAAAAGCAGGTACATCATTTTGGAGAACATCGTTTTATATATTGCTATAGCTCTCATATATATGTTTCATCCTGTTTTAAAGTACCTCAGATGAGTAATATGCACTCCACAAAAATGATATTTGGTACCGGGCATCAGATGCTGCTCGAAATTGCCTCTGCCAAATTTTCAGATTTTTATATAGCTTCCATATACATATTCATCCGGTTTTACGGTTATTGCTCAACATATAATATCAGCCCAAATTGGATAGATTTCTTCATATTCAACCGAGTTTTGCCCTTTGGTGAAACTTGGTCCTTCCACCATAGTATGGAGGGTATATTAAGTTTGTCATTCCGTTTGTAACACCTCGAAATATATATTTAAGAACCCACAAAGTTCTTATATTCTTGATCAGCATAAAATGTTATGTCCATTTAGCGATGTCCGTCCGTTAATCCTCCTGTCCGTCTTTGAAAATCACTTTAGCTTCCGAACGAATTCAAGTAGGTTGGTAAAACTTTTCTCAAATGTGTATTATATCTGCAGGACTTTTGGTATTGAAAATGGGTGATGTAGGTCCACGTTTTGGTATAGCCCCCATATAATGGTACCTCCCTATTTTCGGTATTTTGGTGATTTAAGCGACATTATTCACCGCAAATGTTTCAAATTTGGTATTTGAAGTTCGTAATGGATATTACAGGCTATGACAGAAAATTGTCTATGCAGGTCCACGTCTTCGTATAGCCCCCATATAACGGTATCTCCCTATATTCGGAATTTTGATGATTTTATCTACATTATTCACAAAATTTTTTTATTCAAGTTTCGCATTTGAATATTGTAATGGTTTATTCAAATTCAAAGTTCGGCATTGCCCAATTTACAGGTTTTTTGCTTTTTTAATATAATCTTTATCGAAGTCATATCATGCGCTATACAGCTATGTAATTTTGGTCATAGTTGCTATGAACTACTTCACATAAATTCTCAATATAAACTTTTTTCTGGTTACGGGAGATCTTCTAAATATGTATAGTAGTGTAGGGTATCATATAATCGGCCCCGCCCGACTTAAGGCCTTTCCTTACTGGTTATTTCATATGTTCAAAAAACAATAATTAAGCCCCAGCTCTGCATTTTATGTAATTTGCCTTGTCAAATTTATATTTATTTGCAGCAGCATTCTATATATCTGTGTTATATATTTATCTATGATTAAGGAATAATTTTGAAAAAGAAAAATGGATAAATGATTTCACGAAATTACCTTCTTAATTCTAGAGGTTAGATTTAAAAATAAAAATTATCTTGAATCTAATTTATATTTAGACTCCGATATAACTTTCTCTATACATCTGTTCGACACCCACTATACCAGAAAAATCCAGCCACTGATACGTTCTTTTTGTGTCACATTAAATTTCTACCGTCTAATCGAATATTCTGGTTAGCCGATAATCTATCGAGCATTGCTTCAAATGCGAGACATTTTT